GCCTGGGCCCTACCCTTCGCTAGCCGGTGACCGAAACCGAAGCATGTCAGACCGGCGTATCAGACCAATACAACCGCCACATTGGCTGTTTCGGCGTCGGCGTGCCAACGCCGCAGACATGCAGCCCGTGGGAGAGGCCTTACTGTCACATACTTTGTGTCAGCTTAGCCTCTGCCAAGGACAGTTCCGGGCCACATTACCGGCAATGGCTATTTGAAATCTAAGTGTGGCAGGATGGTCTATAAAATGGAGACAAGTGATGCTGTTGATGACTGCGATTCGCACAGGATTGAGGCAAGGTTCAGAAGTTGTTCTATATATAACCACGCGTCAGGCTTAACCATGCCAATAGTTAAAGTGAGTGCTCCACATTTCTATCGGATTTTGAACTGAAATAGCCACCTTGAAGGTCATGTAATGCTGTTCAGAGAGCAGCCCTTTTACAGACCTAAAATCTTTATTCTGGGCTAAACGCTCGCAAAGATACGCAAGCTATTTCGCGCCGACTATTTCAAATTCACTCTGGCTTGCTTGACGCCATAGAAATACCACTGAAATACTGTTATCATATTGGCTATACCGCGTTCAAGGCGAAGAAGAATAAAATAGTCGACTCGTTCATGTTTGGTGTTTGTGAGCACGCATTCCAGATATGACAGACTTTAACCGGCTCTCACCCAAGTTGTGCAGGCAGAGCGAGCATCACGAATCGCACATAAATCACGTGTTGCGCTGCATCATGCCAGCAGTCGGATGGGGTTACTACTTAATACGGAAATAAACCTTGTAATTGAAATGCTTAAGAAAAGCACCACAATCGAGTATGTGAATACGAGAGAACAACTCACACCCACGGAGACATGTGCAATAACCCTACGAGAAAAAGACAAACACGAGCACATAACGATATTTGCTTCAGCAAACGTATCCAGCACTGCCACTGCTACCTCGCGGCAAGTTGAAGTGCTGCAAGTGAGTGCTTAAGTGGCAATTTTGCACAATCAGTTTCTGAGTACCTCTAAAGTCATACATACGCTTCATGGCGCAATTAAACTATGACGCGTTGATGGCTAGAGCAGTCTTTTCCACTTTAAAAGATATACTCATAAGTGAGCATTTTTCATCACATTTGATGCTTGCTTCAAAATTTCGAATGTGGAGCATTCCATTCAAGGGTAGATCACTAGCTGAGCTGCATCGCAATTCTACGCCTAGTCAGTTTGACTAGACATGACAGCGCTACCACCATATGCATTCACAAAAAGACGGCCCACTAGCCTGCATTCGCAGACTTGGTGAGTGCCCCACTCGCAGGAAAAAATGCAGCACGCCATTGTGGCACATGAATGCACCGCAATCGTGACAGCCCTGCAACTTGCAACCACAGATGTGCCGATTTTGCCGGTCCATCCCCAGAACGAGGCCCGAACCAATACCGATCGATGGAGCCCCATGTTGGCTGTCTACGTTTTGGCAGTCTGGCTCGCCAAACTCGCGGTGCTACCCGCGCGACCTTGCAAGGTAACCCGTCCATCATCGAAAGCACAGTCTGAGCTTCTCTTGTGCACCGCGGAGCTCAGAGTCAAAATTGATGTGACCACTAGCACTGGAGCAAGATTTGTCGGACAAAACCAAAACTTTGTACCGAGTTGCGGATGGCCTGGTGTAGTGCGATGATCACGCGATGGAGATCATATACATAACATGCGATAACGGCACGATATACCGTCTAGAGGAACATATGCATGACCCAGCATTGGGAATGCCCCGCTCGTCGGTACAAAATGCAATAGCGACATTTGTAGTCACGTACATATTGACGCTCGGCCGCCAAGAGGGGCCTAATAGTCCTCAGTGGTTCTGCTTGAATGTTTTAGTAATCATTACATATATCTGATGACAGCTGCTGGCCTGATGGCATCTTGTCCTATCTAATTTCGGAACTTATGTCTGAATGGGTCGTGACCCACGATCCATTTGTGTAGGTCATGTCACCCAGGCTTCTCGCCGAATTGGCGATGATGTTCACTTGACAGCCACGGTATATGTTACTTGTTTACTTTATAATCGTAATCCATTACCTTGTCGGCCATTTCAGGCCCGGGAGTGTCTTAAGGTGAGGGGTCAGATGATCAGACGTCACGCTAGATCGGACCCGTCCAGTTGTTCGTTTAAACGTGGTTTATTGCAGGAGTGTTTTAACACGATCTCTTGTCGCTTTAACTTGCTGTACGTTTCACTAGCAACATTTTTTTTCAAACAATCCATCACATGATCATCCTTCTGGCGAGCCTCAAGCGATGAAGTGCATCAAATTTTTTTAGTCAGGGTCACGAAGGGTAAGAGGATGTTCAGTAGGCAAATATTGCTATGCATCGTTCGGGCTGCGTATGGTGCAGAGATAAGTGTTTGCTCATTTTTCGACTAAAACAAACCACAATGTTCTTTGAAATACGAAAAAAGCCTCTGAAAAAAATTCAAATTTTGCTGAACACTAGCTATTGCGTCATCGTTCAGTGGTTGGTCTTCATATGGCGCGCAGAGGAAATATTTTCAATCGAAATCAAGTTTGGCCTTGACCTGACAAAGGTCATATGTGAGCAAAGTTATTCCGAACTGAAATGGTATCTAAAATTTGAATATCGTTAATGGCATGATGTTGCACAATTGTATGCACTGTACAACAATCAAGCGGAGTACTCAAGCGGAGCATTCAGCTCTGATAATGGTTCCGTGATATGACAGGTCACTCAGCTGACTCAGGCCCAGAACCCAGTAACTTGAGAGAGAACGAAAGACAATAGAGTACACCTTGGTGCTCATGGAATTACTTTCCATTTAAGTCCGGAAATTATAGCGACAAGGAGCTTTCGTGTCATTTCCAATATCCCCTGTTCAAGGCCATTATCATGACTTGCAAGGCAACTTACACGCGCTCCGGTGGGGGGGGGGGGGGTCAAATTACCTCCCCGCGAAGATTGTTCTGGAATGGTTTCCGAACGGCGCGGAATAGCTGCGACAAATTTTGCATAGCTGTAGACAATTAAATAGCGGATCTTGTGGTATCCAAAAATTCGTTTTACTTTGCAAGACCTCTGACCTACGGTAGATAACATTCAGACCATGGGTTCGGCGAAGTCAGTATCTAGGGAATAGTTCAATCTGATGGCACAACGAAGTGTTAGACAAAGCCATACATGTCTGAGATACTTTCTTAGGCAGCATAGCAATTGTATGACGAAATTCCGTTTACCTAGGGTCAGATATGAAGGTCAGACAAAGGTCAAAGCCGATCTGTTTTATCATTGTAGTGCTTGCTGTACGAGGTAGTTTCTGGTACTCATTTCGAATTTATTGAGGACAGGAACCGCATTACCAACCTTCCATGGACGTCGTAAAGATATGAAGAGGTCACTGACCCCAAAATGACCTAGTTGCACACGTTGTTTTTTGGTACATACTGCCTAGCGTAATCTGTATCGCTTCTTTAAATGCAAACTCAAAGCAGTCTTCTATGATTTTTGTTACCACGATCTTCGACAGATCAAACAAGGGCACTGACCTTAAACGAGAATATGAACTTTTGATTAGAACATGTACCTAGGTTCTGCGGACACTTTGGAGACCAACTTGAAGTTTGACCTTCCCTGACCTTGTTTGACCCGAAGGTCATGACCTAGGATCCTCACAAAGCGAGCTAAGTGAGTTCACGCACAGGCTAATACATCCTGTGAATTTGGTGTCTCTATCCCTCTCAGTTCCTGAGATCTCACCGGGAGGGGTTCAAATTGACCACCACCTCCTGCGAAAGGTATCCAGCCGGCCATCCGGGCGCGTGTTAATGGTCTGGAAACAACACCGAAAACCTTAATATGGCTTAGGAAACAAGTAATGCGCTGGCTTTTATTCCGGAGGTTTATCCGTCTGATTTCAAACGTTGGCAGGTGGTCGCTGGGAGAGGCTGAAGCAGTACGAGCCCCCTTTACCCGCGCGTCGGGTGAGGGTATAACGTGGCCCCGTCGGGCGAAGGTCAAAATATGCACCAATGTGATGGGACAGATCGTAACCTACGGGGTCCTCCACCCATGAATACGCCTCTGAACGTTACACTGATGGAAAAGGTCTTTTCTAGACGGATGAAGGATGACTGAGTTGTTGGGTCGTTTGCTAAGTTCTATCGGAGATACTTTTATTGACAAAAACCGAAACATCCCTTGGTATTAGTAGCTCTGAGAGCGAATGTATCTCCTACTAAGCTGCTAGCCAAGATGAGTTCAGATACCCACAGGTTTCATGGGAATCAAGACTAAATTTTGTTTTAAAGTCTGTTGTGGGTGCTGTGAAAAGCGCTAACTAAAGTGATTCACAATGGAGCAAATGATATACGTGGAAGACAGAGATGCAACCGTTATCTATTACATGGATACAAGAGGTACCCTCTCATTATCTGATGTGAGTCCTTTGGCACTGAAAATTAGAGTGCAAATGTGAGACATTCTGTTGTGTAATGTTCGGGAATTGTGTGGCTGATGTATTTATGGTGCATGCGTGCTTTCGCACGTATATGTGCATAAAATTGATTTTATGTATGAAATTGATTTCACTTCAGATTTTATGCATGAAACATCACTTTACCGAGTTTCTGGAATATCTGAAAGGATAACTGGGTTCCTTCGAGGTGTTTTTGTAAGTAGGATACCTAATATTGCACGCATTTCATTTATATCTCTCGGGCACATTTCGGGCCGCCAAAAAAAGAAACTCGCAGTGTGTCTGACACATCGTATTTAGCAAATATATCATGCAACGCCAGTTGAGGCCTCGCCCACCCACCACCAAGGCGGCCTGCAGTTTGCGTCTATCGTCCCCCTGTTTCTTCAAGCCACTGACGCTCGCCCACTGGCAGACGGGGCCCACCCTAGACGTCAACTAGCAGGCAGGGTCACCCCAGCCCCACCCGTCCCTCAATTAGCGGACGGGGTCACCCCAGCTCCCCTCACCTGTCCGAGTGCACCTGTCAGCGGCTTCTGAAGCCTCGGTCAACTCCACTCGAGTAGCCTCGGTCGACTCTACACGACACAGGCGCCGCTCGGCGTCCGACACGCGCGCGCAGCTGCAGCCTCACGCGCCCTCGCCGCCGGCTGCCGCCCGACTAGGACGGCGCGCGCACGCGGCGGCGGCGGCCGGCGGTCCAGGGCGGACGTCTGTTGTGCGCTCGTTGCCAGGACGGCCTCGGTCGATGCGCAAGCCAGCGGACACCCGGGAATTGGCGCGGTATGCTGGCGGACGCTTACGTAACAGGCACAGTGACTCAACCACTCCTGTTGCAGAGGGGGGGGGGGGGGGGGGAGGAAGGGAGAGAAAAGGAGAGAGGGACAGGCAGGCAGTTGCTAATGATTACGGCTCGGACATAGGCTCCAGACACCACGGGCAGGACGTGTGCTCGCACTACGATTCAAGACAGGAGAACTCGCGTTCGAATTAGTAGCGGTCGACGCAGACCCAGAATCAGGGTCAGTGTGCATGGCTTGCACAAGCGTGATTCGGCGAGCAGGAACTGAGACTTGGATGAGACCTGCGACGATATGCGGGGACTCATGGTGGAAAATTTTAGCTAAGTGAGCGAAGCTGTCCGTCATGGAAAACAGTTAACGATGTAAATATTCACGTATGTCGCGTGCGTTTCTTGAAAGCCAGTGGAAGTCAAGTTCACTGCAGGTCGAGTATTGTCACTGGCGTTGATTTGTCCAACAACATTGCAACGTCGCAATCGGAGGGAACTGAAATGCATCAGTGTTAGTTCAAATATCGTTTAAATTAAAATGCATACGAGGTCAAGAATTTCATACCATGTAAACCATTGTTAATGGGCATTTTGCAGCGCGTAAATGGCATTGCCGTCCACGTAAACTGCAGGTCTACTGAGGGTCATGGAATGAACTGAGACGGTCAGAGCATTTCATGTCTCAAGTTTCTAGCCAAGGTCTCAATTCTTGAAGGTCATGGAATTAACACAGATGGCCGGAGCGTGCAAAGTCTGAGCATTCTAGTCGGCATGCTCTAAACCGCCCGCTCGATGATGCGCTCTGGTTGCCCTGGACGTCTTGAGATGCACCTTGCGGATGTGCAATGGCGTGATTTTTCAGCATTCAGTCGCGGACTGCTGCGGAGATAGCAGTCACATATTATATGATCATGACAGTCTAGGTTTTACACGGGCGTAGCTGGTCCGTGGGCTGGCTTTGCATACAGCTTGCTCCAAGCATATCTAGAAATACTGGTTCGCGGGAATCTTAAATCAGGTTATTAGATAGACTATATTATAAATGTTTACATTCCTCTCAGTAACAGTAGTGGCTATTTTGTGAAAAAGTACACTATTGGGCTATTGTCATACTCTCTTTCTTACCACGTGCCAGTAAGTATTTTGTTCAGCACTGCAATGTGCCAACATGTCTAGACTGCTAGCTCGCATATTACGCAGAGATGTATGGCATCGTATGACAATCTGTTGCCGCATCAGATTAAGCGATTCCTAGAAATGGCGCTTGCTGCCAGCCATGACCTGACTTTGACCTGATATAGGTTAGTGAGCTTACAACGTACATCGGATTTCTTATGCCAAAAAAATTGCTATGTAATTTCTTACAGCTGTGCAAAGTTTGGCGCGCATGCACCAAACTTTGCACAGGTTGCCGTTCGGAAATGCACAGGTGCCATTCGGAAGTCATTCTGGAAAACCAAACGGGTGTCATTTGATCACCTCACCCGAGCGTGTGTTAATTTATCATTACTGACAACACGCACACTGTGCTCCATTTCTCCAGATAAAAGGTAGCGTATGGAGTCCTGAACACCAGGCGGTGGGTCACCTTAATTTTCCCAAGATTATCAAGTGGCTCATCTCGTTTCTTACGTCACCTCGTCCTGATGGCTAAGCGGAGATATCATGTTCAGGGTCACAGACGCTAAAAAAATTGGTTAAAAAAGGCAGGGCTAGTGATGTTTGAAGTCCACACTTTTCACGTGTTACGACAAGCTCATGTCGAGCTACCAGAAGATAATGGGAGGGTCGCTGTAGCTTGGCAATGGCGTAATACTGTCTTAAAAGTCGGATGATGGCAAAATAGCACCAAAGTCGAATATTTCAAAACATCGCCAGAGTGTACTGTCAAACTTGCATGGCGCGGTGCGGAAACATGGCATTCCGTCCTCCCCCTCCCCTGTTCTCCCATCTCTCCCATCTTGCGGTTCTTTCGCCTGAGCTCGTACGACCACCAGAGTATGTTTCCAAGGCCATCCATGACTGAAGGCTTGTCCAGGAGAGAAGAAGCACTGGCAAGTCGTCATTGCTTGTCACAGCCCGAGCGGGACTAAGTGCTTCAGTCATGCGGCAAACTACCGGGACAAGGGTTGTTTTATTACCGGCTGTTTATACCGGCAGTTTATGTAGTTTTTCATGTATTTTCAAACGACACATTTTCTTAGCATGCTAGTGTATGACGCATGCCCACCATTATGTAAGCGAACTTGTTGCGCTTAGGCGTACTCTGACTCAGCCACCGTCCGTTACTTTCACTGTCTGTGACTGTCACTCACCGACAGAACCTCTTGTAAACTCAAGAGCGCACTTTTGTAAACTCAAGCACACTCGTGTCTTGCAAGGGTGGTCTTCCAGCGGAAGTGCCGCGGTAGCTGCTGCATGCGGAACGCCCCCGGCACGCTTGCGAGTGAGCTAGCCGAACCAGCGACGTCAGTCCAGCCGTGACAAGGCCGCCGCGGTCGGCCGCCGCCGGCGCGGCGGATAGATAATGGGCAAGTCGTAATCCTCGCTCCCGCCCGGCCGCCCCGAGACAGGGTCGCCAGAGCCGGCCACCAGGACACGCCCACACAGGGGGGCCAGCTGTGGACCTAAAGCTAGAGCAAGCGAACAAACGACGGGTGTGCGGAGGACAACGAAAACATGCCTGAAGAGAAAGACATTTCTACGGTGACCAATACCCTTCGATAACGTTGTCGGGTCTTCGTGCTATGAACGTGCGCCAGAGGTACCGGTCGCAGCAGCCGGGTCTGAGTGCCTTGCGCTGCGGCCATCGCACAGCTGTCGGCGTGAACCGCCGTTTCCCCACCCTCCCCTCGTTCCTTCGACGGAGCAGGGCAGCGTGAAGGTCAAGGCTCGCCGATGGCCAGAACCATGCGACACAGTGGGAGCGGCTGGTGACCCGGTGACCACGAGACACCCTCGAGTCACGGCGGCCATTCAGCGCCGGATCGCCGCACCCGCAGACCAGTGGACGCCATAGCACACAGCGAATCACGTCGTCGGCAAGCAGCATTATCAAAACCAATACAAATATCATGATCGAGTCGTTTATATATGGTGACGCAAGCATAATTTCGAGATGCCACGGCCGTCAATTGACTCTCAATCAATATTGTGAAAGGCGCGATGACATAATCAAACAATGACACATCGAAGAGCGTATTTGCTTAACAGAAATTGTCGTGGAGCAGTGCCTTTCACTTAAAAGCATAGCAATAGTTATAAGTGAGCCTATCCCATCATCGTTTCAATTACGTTTTGTTCAATTTCTTCGAATGTGGAACATTCCGGTAAATGAAAACTGGCTATACATGAACCAATACAACATCAATGAAAACTGGCTATACTGCCCAGGCAGGGGATGGTTCTACTACAGATAATACAGACGGAGGGGTTCACATCGTTCTTTTGCTTGTCTTATATTCCCAACACAATAAGACGGCGATAGACAAGTATATTTCTCTGTAAGGTCGCATGGGGACGATACGCGTAGGACAGCGGTTCTAGTACCCCCACTGTATCCTTGGGCTATTGTGTCGATGCATGCTAGGAAGCTAAGGTAATGATCAATGCTGACTTCGAAATATGTAGTGCTCTGGAGTTTGGGACCGATGCATCACAGAGGCTCATAGGGACTGCCGCGACTTTTCCGCAATGTCGTCGTAGGGGTAATCGCCAACATCTTGTTTTATGGGAGCTTAGCTAAATGTCACCGTGACAAAAAAAGAAACGGTGCATGATGCCGAGCGTGCAATAAGCAGCTGCAAGCCCTCTTTTTCTGCTGAGGAGGACATTTATGTCATTTGCAAATCGGGTGACGGTGACGTCGCCCGACACACGAAGCCTGAGGCTGTTGGCGAACAGCATGCGCTCAACACAGCTTAAAGCGGCACCCTGAAACACTCCGACCAAAGTGTCTCTCGGTGCGGACAAAACGGGCAAGCCGTAAGCTGAACCTGAAGCTGCTGCGTGTGGTCGGCCAAGTAGTTTCGAAATCAAACCATATTTGCGGTGTGTATAGAAATGTTTCAATTTTTCTTTGGTTTTTGTGAGGCTTGACGTCGAAAAATTTGGATGGGTTTTTCAAGAAAACAGATCACGAATTTTGGAATCAAACCGTAAAAACGGCGTGCAAAAAAGGTTTCCAAGTATTTTTCTTGAGGTATGACATCAAAGCATTTTCAAAGCTTTTCACCAAGCTTTCAGTAATTATGCTTAGCGACAAAGCGGCACAGCTTCTATGATAATATTCGGGCAGAAAAAACTGCGGATATTTAAAAAACATGTTTTATAAGACGTGCAAATATACATATGTATATATATATGTATATATATATATATATATTGATAATATGGCAGTTTACCGGTCAAAAGCAGGGTAATGTTTATCCTATAATCCCAGAACGCCCTCTGCCCTGGCTTTTTAAAACTTTTTTAATTGAGACTTTGATGATATGTCTGTCGCAGACGCGACAAAACAGACTCTTTTATACTGGCGACGTCCCCTCAAGTGATGTGCATTACTTACAGAGCTTAATTGTTGCTGCAAAGTTCAGGACGATGACTGCTTCAATTAAAAGGCTTGATGATAAATGAAATGAACGTTTGAGTTAGATTGCCCTTAAAGCCTGTCCTACGCCACTAGACACCAACGCAAACATTTACGGCGCGGGGCAGTATCTAGTTCCTCCGACGGACCCACGCCATTGCCAGTCCTGGTATGATCCTAGAATTCGGATGAAGTTAAAGGCATGGACGGAAGATTAAATTTTTATAAAGAGGCATGTTTCGTATAACAAACTTATTCTGTGC